GGAAAAGTCAACGTTTCGGGTATTACCCTTCTTCAGGATTTGAAGAATGGTAATACCCAAAACATTGACTTTTCCTTTCCTCCAGATGCTGCCTGGCTTGCTGTGTTCTTCCAGCCTCCTGTTTGTCAGCCTATTGTATCGTTGACTGCTGATTGAATAGCCACAAGTCCCATGCTTTCTGAGTGACTCTTGATTTTTTTTCCTTTTAAGTTTAATTGTGAAAGATTGCACAATTCTGGTTGAATGACACACCATCACTTACTGTCCAGGTTTACAAGTGGAGGACTTCTCTTTGTGTGAAGGACAGAAAGCTAAACTCCATAATCTCAATTTGCAACTTGAGTCAGTGCCTTCAGTGCTTGGGGTGGGGAGTGATGCAGTAGGAGAGCAAAGGAAAAGTCCATGTTCTTATCAGTGAGCTTGGCACAAAAACCCCTAAAGGTGAACCAGGGATGAAGACAGAAAAGTGAATAGCTTAGATCGCAAGGATGAGTTCTCATTGGAACTTAAGTCTGAAACTTCGTCTCACTTTTATTTAAAATGGAAAGAAAGGATATTTTAGTCTGGGTTTCTGGTTTCTTTAAAAGTATGAACTCTATTGAAAAATGTTTCAAACTCTGACCCAGATCTTACAGACTTGGCACAAATCCCAGAGTACTAAAGAACCTCATAATTAGGCAACATTTGAGAAAGAGCTTAGACTGTTATTATGATGTGTGACAGCTTGCCCCGTGGTGTATCAGCAAACACTGATTCTCTCTCAGTTGTGTTTGCTCAAAAGAAGCCTGGTCAGTGCCACACATCCTCGATGGCTAGTTGTACGATGTTTGTAGGAGTATAGGTTTCAAAGCACAGAAGGAGGCCATTTGGCCCACTGATTTAATGCTGTCTAAGGCTCAATGTGTAGCACTCTTTCAAAGCCACTTCAGAGATTTCAGCAGAAAGTTCTCGGCTGATACTCCCAATACAGTGCTGAGAGATTGCTACACTGACGGAGATGCCATCTTACAGAGGCTTCGTTAAACAGAGTCCCTCTCCGTCTCTTCACCTGGACATAAATGCCTCATGATTGCTTGTTGAACCAGAGCAAGGGAGTTTTCCCCAGTTCCCTGCCTAATATTTATCCCCAAGTGATGCTGTATCTGGCTTGTTAGGAAGTGAATGTCAATGACTAAATCTGGCCATTATCAAGTTGCCATTTCTAGGAGCTTGCTGGAGGCAAATGGGTTGCCACGTTGCCTATTTACTATCATTAAAATTCAAAACTTCTCATTGGCTGTAACATGCTTTGGGAGGTCCCGAGGTTATGAAAGGTGTGATAGAAATCTAAATCTCTGTTTATTTGTGTTATGCCGGTATGCTATACATTCTGGCTTTGAAATACTTGATCCAGCTCACTGTTCAATGAGATGCTGATTGCTGCCTTAATATCTGATTGTACTGTGTATGAGTTAAGCTGTCAATAAGATTTTTGTTTTCCATCTCTCATTCTCCTGCTATCAATGTGTTGATTTTTTTGGTTAGGTTGAGTGCTGTCTATTGGGTAATGGTGAATGTTATCATGCTTCTGCAAATTTATAAAATGTATTAGTGGGCACGGAGATTGAAAGCATACAGTTGAGACAAATGCTTCTTGTAGGGGTGGACAGCTCTTCTCCTGTCCTCACTCAAATGTCCACAAATGGGACCTTTCTGAGCAAGGCTGCTAAATTGTGGTCAGGTACTGGTAACCTGACCAATGGGGGAGGCGACAGCCAAGTGGTATTATGACTAGACTGTTAATTTAGAGATCCAAGTAATGTTCTGGGGACTCGGGTTCGAATCCCACTACGGCAGATCGTGGTAATTTGAATTCAATAAAATCTAGAATTGAGTCTAATGATGACCATGGATTGATTGTTGGAAAATTCCTCTGATTCACAAATGGTTCACTAGGGAAGTGAATCAGCCATCCTTACCTGGTTTGGGCTACATGTGACTACTGTGGAGTCACAACTGGTTGACTCTTAACTGAACTCTAGGCAATTACTGAGGGGCAATAAATGCTGGCCTGGAACAATGATGCCCACATCCCTGAGAATGAATAATACATAAATTTACCCCATAATTTTCTAGTACAACTGAAACCAATGCCTTCATTCTCGTCCCTGATTAGAGATCAGTTAACACAATACCTGTAGTGGATCAGCTCTGGTGGAATCTTCCTGGTTGTTCTGCATTGGAGACAAGTGTCTGAGGATGTGTATAGATCCTGTATTTTGTTTGTTTTCCCCCGTTCCTAAGAAGAAAAATGTTTGTTGCCTTATCTGTGAATAAAACCTACTATGACTCAATAATTGTACGTGTCTCAGCTAAGCAAGTTGATTGTGCCCTGGCTGTGTTCCTAGTTTATGCACTTTGACACAACACCATGTTGGTCACAACAGAAATTATGCTTTGAGTTTTGATGCTGCTTGATGAGGATGTCGCACAGTTTTTTGCAGCATAAAAAGAGGCCATTGAACCCACTGGTTCCATGTTTTCTTGCCCTACATTGGCCCTAATTTTTTTGCAGCTCTCCTGAAGACATTAAGATACATCTGATTGCACTCTATACCCCATCAAAAGATGGTCCTGATACTGGCCTCATAGTTTGTGATGGGTGGCAAGGTCAGCATTTGTGGCCCATTGGGTGTCTTGCTAGTCCATTTCAGAGGGCAGCTAATGGTTGACCACATTGCTGTGGGTCCCAAGTCACATGTAATCTGGACCAGATAGTGGCAGCAGATTTCCTTCCCTAAAGAGAGTTTGTGAATGAGGTGAAGTTTGACGCCAATCAACATTAGTTTTCATGATCATTCCTACTGAGATTTCACTTTATTTTGCTTCGTTAACTGAATTTAAGTTTCACTAGCTGCTATGATGGAATTGGAGCCCATGCTTACAGACCATTAGCTTGGTCTGACCAATGCATTGAAATTATCACTATAACATTGTCATTCCATTTCACCACACCACAGCCCCTCAAACTTCAACACACCACAACCCCCCAAAAAAAAGAAAAGAAATGAGGTTCATTTTAACACGTCCAACATGACTCCTCTTTTGCACAAAGTTGTGTTTTTTGGTCTGGCGAAAAGTCATGTTGGACTTGAAATGTTCTCTCCCGCTTTTATAAATGAACAGTGACTCTGTTGTGCTAATGGAATTACTTTTTACTCGTTGAATAATACACTATGTGACCACCTGATTCTGTTTAAAGGAAAGACTTGCATTTACATTTTGTCGTTCTGAGGAACAGTCACCGACCTGAAGCATTAATTCTGATTTTTTTGCACAGATGCTGCCAGACCTGCCGAGCTTTTCCAGCAACTTCTGTTTTTGTTGCCTTTCATAACCCCAGGGTGAGCCAAATCATTTTGCAGCCAATGTGCTCTTTTTGAAGTGGTAACCAGTTTATGCACAGCAAGCTCGTACAAACAGCAATGAGAAAATGATCAGATAATCTCTGTTCATGATGTTGAGTGATGGATAAGTATTGGTCAAGACATTGGGAAAAATTGCTCTACTCTTCAGACTTCTTGTCCACCTGAGATTGTAGATGGGTCCTCTATGTAACAGCTCATCCATCAGCACCTTTTAACAGTGCAACTCTCATTCAGAATTGCATTTTTAATTCAAAACTACTTCAATGCTTGAGTTTCTTGAGAGGGATTTGAACCCACAGTTTTCTGACTTGGAGGCAGATCTGTTAACCCTGAGCCATATCTAACCACTTTGAGGAATTAGTTTTCTTCAAGGAAGAATCTGAGTTTTCTGTTGAAATGAGTTTGTAGCCCGTGTTTATACCATTGTTGAACTTAATCTTGGCAGTCATCCACTACTGACGGCTTTAATCTTATGTAGAGAAGGGCACAATTATGAGTTGTGAGTTGCTGCAGTGTGTATGCTAAAGGTGCTGCATTTTGCATTCTGTTGCGGAGAGGGCCTCCTTTGCCCAATCTTGCCTTTTTCATTTTTACAAATGTCTTGGGCAGCCAAATTAGTAGGGTTTGCTGGATTCCACTCTGAACACAGGGACACAGTGTGCTTTCATTCATATTATGATGATGTTGTAGAACCACTTGCCATTATCCCAGTGCAGAATTGTAGACCCACATGCTGCTGGACTAACATTCCGTTGGTTCCTGGACCTCTGCGTTTGTTTGCACTATAAATGAGTAGTCACAGGAAGGGAGAACTCAGAATTTGCATTTGGCTGCATTCCTGCTTTTAAAAGTGTCTGAAGAATCAGACAATGCATTGGAAGATCAGCATTGGCAGTAGAATCACAGGATGTTACAGTACAGAATTGGACCATTCAACCTATCAACAGTGTGCCATTGTATTTCTCAAAGAGGCACCTCATTTATTTCCACTTCCCTGCTTGCTTCCATTTACCACTTATCTGCATGCTTGACAACTTCTTCCATGATTATATTTAGCTTCATAATGAGAATTACATATGTAAACGTGCTACACTGTAATTACAATCCCACGCCAGTGGTGCATGGAAGGTGTGAGCCTTTCTGTGCCTGACTTAGTCCAGATGCTGCCCTAAACGTGTTCCTTTTTTAGGAACCACATTTCATCACCTCTGAGCATGACTCTCCCAAACAAACGTGAAATGGAAAGAAATGGTGCATGTCTGCAGCATTCCAATGTACTTTGTAATTTACGTTTATGTCTGTTTTAAGCAGCAGTAATTGACTGGTATTTTTGTGACTCATTCTTTATTGTTATTTAAGAGTTACTCATATGAACAATAAAATTTGATGCATGTTAAGATGTGTTTTTTTTCTTTTGTGGGATATGAACAACACTGGCAAAGCCAACATTTATTGCCCTTGGGAAGTTGATGGTGAGCTGCCATCTTCTACCATGGCAGTCGTCTGGTGTAGGTGCACACACACCGCTGTGAGTGAGTGAGTGTCCTGTTGTTGAACCCAAGTTGTGACTGACTTGTAACACTTGCATCTTAGGTCCCTGGATGGAAGGCTCCAAGTTTCCCATCGGAAGGGTCTGCCTCATGTCATCTACTGTCGCCTCTGGCGTTGGCCAGATCTCCACAGTCACCATGAGCTTCGAGCCATGGAAATGTGTGAGTTTGCCTTTCACATGAAGAAGGATGAGGTCTGCGTGAATCCTTACCATTACCAAAGAGTGGAAACACCAGGTGAGTGCACAGTGCAGAAACAACTCTTTCAATTTAATAGGTACATGTTGGTGTTTATGCTCCACACAAGCCTCCATCAAGCCCTACTTCACCTAACCCTATCGGAATATTCCGCCATTCCTTTCTCCTCCTTGCACGTATGTAGCTTCTCGTTTGATGTATTCATGCTTTATGTCTGCCTCTACTACTTCCTGTAAGACAGGTTCCATATTCTGACCACTGTCTTGTGGAGCAGTTTCTCCTGCATTCTGTATTGGTTTGTTAGTCACTGTATTGGCTGTATTAGAACACTTTATGACCTCTAGTTTTGGGCTCCATCCCAAATGGAAATATCCCCTTTCTGTCTGTTGTATTTGAATCCTTTCATAATTTTAAAGGCCACTCCTCAAACTCCTCTGCTGTAGTTGGTTCAGTCTTTGCTGATGGGCATTAACCAACCTCACTTTTATTGATGAGATGAATGTAAGAGGGAGTTTAGACTGTTGGGCGGCGATCAGACAACCTGACAGCAAACTGTAAAACCACAAGCAGTGATATCTCAGAACAAACATTGTAATGCTAGACAATCCGACGTGTGGAATGGGTTGATGCCAGCTACCCTTGCATGAAGTTGAAGAATGGGGCATGAAAGAAAGATAGAAATAATGTGCATTTGTAAATTCTTTATCATGACCCTCTGGTTATCCAAATTGATTTTCAGGAGCACTTGCTGAAGGTAAATGTATTAACCAGGAAACACACAACAACGTTCTACAAAACATCCAAGGAGCAGATGAAATAAGAGCAGGAGATGGGATTCTGCCCTTTGGGTGTGCTTCTCCTTTCTTGTGCCTCAATTCCACCTTCCAGCACAATCCCCATATCCCCTAATTCTCTTAGAGCCCAAGAATGTAGCAATGCATGTCTTGAATGTAATAACAAATGCCATTTAATTAATGAGGGAAGCCTGCTGGCTCTGACAGTCAAAACTGCCTGCTTTTGTAAATATGGCCAATTGACTTTAAACCTCAACTTGAAGAGACAACCTCTCAAATACGTGCATGATACTTTAAACACTCCCCTCAGCATTCCACCAGTCTCAATATCATTACTCAGGTTTTGACGTGGGGTCTTAAACTAAAATGTTTATGACTCAGAGGTGAGGATTTGCCAAACTGACACCCATTTGTTACTGCAAGACCCAAATATGGACTGGAAAGGACTTGACTTTAAATAGAGACATTGTGGCATTGGCCTCAGATAAAAAGAAAACCAAGTCCTCTCTATTGTTTGTGTGTTTTTTTATTCCACAGTTTTACCTCCCGTTCTCGTGCCAAGGCACACAGAAGTGCCCTCTGAATTCCCACCCTTGGATGACTACACACATTCCATCCCGGAGAACACAAACTTCCCAGCAGGTATCGAACCACAGAGCAACTATATACCAGGTACTAAATGGTACTTAACAGAACATTTCTGGTAAATTACTTTTCCTGTTATTTGTGACATTAGAAATGGAAATTATTCCATTGGCAGAAAAAAATTGTGTAAATACAGAGGAAAGTAATTGGCTCCGTTTTGGTGTAGAATCTAAAGGACCTTGCCTTAGCTTACACATCACAGTACCAAAAGCAGCAGGCTATGCACTTGTATGGATATTTAATATTGCACACAGCTTGTGAAAGTTTTTTTAAAAAGATTTCCCTCTCTTGCTGTAATAAATTGGTAAAACGAACACAGTTGTGGCGCATTGAAGTTTTTCGGCGAGTCTTTTAAACTGGTGTTAAAGGAGAATGCAGCATTTCAGGCCAGTTCCTTCCTTTCAAAACTGGTATTGTAATCTGAGAAATGACTGCTGTAAGGTAGATACCAAGCTGCTGGCATAATGGCTAAATGTGGTAGGCTTTCAATGTCTAAGGCCCTGGGTTCAGTTCCTGACCTGTGCTCAGTTGTCTGGGCCTAGAAGTGGCTTAACTTCTACAGTTGCACTCAGAGAATAGAAATAGTTGAGCTTCACCATGGAGCTGAAGACCACCAATAATTATTATGAATGGAAGGTGCAAAGGAGTTGCAAATGACCAATTTAATTGTTAGTTAGAATGAATCAACAAGTAGGAAAGCAGATCTCTGACTGTGACTTTATGACTACTATTGCACAGGCTGTACTGAGTACCAAACCAGTATCTAAAAATTGTAATGCTACTTAACAAGGCATCAAAGGAGTAGTGTCTCCAATACATCCTCCTCACTGCCTTTCCTCACATGTTAACAATGTGTCTGGTATCCATATTACCTCACCGAGGAGTGAATGTGATATACGTTCTTTAAGCCTTTACTTCCTTTTTATTGAGTTTACAATTTTCCTCTCGTCTTCTCTTCAGTTGAGAGAATTTACATTGATGAGTCATGCATCAGATTTGCCCTAACAAAGGATTTCCACCCAAAAATTCTCACCTGTTTGTCTCTTTAATTTGGGTTTTTTTTTGTTGTTACCTCAAATTATCAGCATTTTCCATCTTTTATACCAAGCCCTGGGTTCTGTTCAGCAACAGCAAATAGCACTTGAACGCAATCATTAGCATGCGGTCAATCGTTACTGTACAAAAAGTAAGTGGGCGGCAGATGACTGCATTATATTGTGTACAAAGCATTGTATTCTTTCCAAGGCTGTCTGATTATGTTTCTAGCTTGCATAAGAGACTGGCGACTGGCTTCTAAGATGAATGAGACCCAAATCCAGAGGATGTCCAGGGTTTGAGAAGTGCTTGATCTTGATGAATACCTTGCTTGAACTAATGCATTGAGCTAAAAATTGGTTTAAGCGTGACGCACAAAGCAGATAGTATTTCAGTCTGAATGTGAATAATTTAAACAAACACATACAGTGTATAAACATGGAATACTAAACCCAATTTGTTAAATGCATCATCTGTAAACCAAGAATGACAATGGTAAAGTAACCATTTCAGGATGTCACATATAATAGGGTCATGTTGAACTTTGGAATTGTCATGTGCAGTATGATGAAACTGGAGCTTGTGATAAAAGAGCAAAAACTATTTGAAAATCAATGGTCAAAGTAACAAATCTTCAGCGGGAGGATAGGTCCATTTGGGAGAAGAATGAACTCCAGTAAGATTTTGTGCCTTCCATCTTTGAAATGGAGTTTGCAACTGCTAGGTATTCTATTTTGGTAAAACAAACAAGGGCAGGACTTATACAATTAATGGTAGAGCCCTGGATGGTGTTGTAGAACAGAGAGACCTAGGAGTTCAGGTGCATAATTCTTTGAAATTTGCTTCACAGGTAGGCAGGGTGGTTAAGAAGGCTTTTAGCACATTTGCCTTCGTTGCTGAGACCTTACAAGTGTAGGAATTGGGACAGGATGAGGTTGTACAGGATGTTGGTGAGGCCTCTTCTGGAGCACTGTGTGCTGTTCTCGTTGCCCTGTTAGAGGAAGGATGTTATTAAACTGGAGAGCGTTCAGAAAAGATTTACCAGGATGTTACCTGGTTTGGAGAGTTTGAATTATAAAGATAGGCTGGATAGATTGGGACTTCTTTCACTAGAGCGTGGAAGGTTAAAGGGTAACCTTTATAGAAATTTATAAAATCATGAAGAGCATAGATGAGGTGAATAGCAAAGGCCTGTTCCCTAAGGTGGGAGAGTTCAAAACTAGGGGTGCATATTTTTAAGGTGAGAGAAGAACGATTTAGAAAGGACATGGGGGCAACATTTTTACACAGAGCGTGGTTAGTGTGTGGAATCAGGAAGTGATAGATGCAGGTGCAGTTACAATGTTTAAAAAACATTGGATAACTACATGACTAGGAAAGGTTTGGAGAGATATGGTCCAAACACGGGCAGGTGGGACTAGTTTAATTTGGGAACATGATTGGTGTGGACTAGTTGGACTGAAAGGTCTGTTTCTGTGCTGTATGATTCTGTAACTAAAACTTGAATCGAAACAAAATCTAGCCCAATCTCGGTCTTCAAAGTGTGGATCTGCATGTTATTTCATAGTATTTAAAATGATTCTTCTTTTCTCTTGGTTAGAGACACCACCTCCAGGTTACATAAGTGAGGATGGAGAAACTAGTGACCATCAGATGAACCATAGCATGGAAACAGGTAATGTGTGGCAAGGGAGTCGTATGTCAAATCTCAAAGATCCAAATTATGAAGAGAGCAGTGAGTGCGTACTGACCACTTCAAAGCAAGTAGAGTAGTGCTAACTGGTGACATGGTAGCGTGTGGTTAGAATCAGAGGAAATGTGAGCTGGTGATTTAACACAGCATTTCTGCCTCAGGAGGCAGATTTTTAACCTAAGACATTAGGCGCCTTTCGTTGGCAGAGTTGAGAGAGCTTTATTTTACATCTAGCTTTTCTCATGTGCGGTGTCAAAATGCCCAGTGTAATTCTGCCCCGATGTTTACTCCCCAGCTGTCCCTGGAATGGGGTTGGCAACTTTGGCTGGCCATATTCCTGGAGGCTTCTTCAAGTGACCTCCATCTTTCTCTCCCTTCCTTCTGTTCTTCCCACCCCTCATGCCCACTTGTCATTGGTTAGGCAGTATCACAACCCTCCTGGTGCATTGCCTTCCAAGCTACTGACTGTTCTCCCTGGGTGTTGCTCGCTGCTGTATTCTGGATCTTGATTTCCTGCTGAATTGAGAGCAATGTTCCGTCTCAGTTTTCATTGTTGTATGTGCCCTGTTTCTTACTAAGCATGGTATGTTCAGATCACTGCGCACCCATCCAGCCTAGCGGGAACATTAATGCAAGACAGTCATGCAGGTTTGAGATCCATACCCCAGATGTGTTGATTATTAGGGTGGAGGCTATCCTGTGCTACTTCACTAAGATTGACCACGTGGGTGAGTGCTGCAGAACTGAGCCTGCACATGCCCAATTGTCGTTGTGTAATGGGAAAGGAATACTGACTAACTTACCCTCCACCCCAACTCAATAATGCAGCCACACTGGTCGTGAAATTGGAGTTAAGGGGTGAATTCAGTTCAATGTGGTCAACATGGCTGAGAGCTAGCTCATTTAAATCTCAGCCAGTGTATTAAGGGAGATTATATTTTGTACAGGGGACTGTGATATAGTTGTAATATTGTTGGACTGTCAATCCAGAGGGCCAGGCGAATACTCAAGGATACAGGTTCAAATTCTACCATTCAATACCATGTGGAATTTAAATTTAATTAATTAAATTTTTAAAATGTTTGGCAATGAAAGCTGATCTCTGGAACAGGGATTGTGAAATTATCATTGAATGTTGTAGTTTGGGTCACTAATTTTTTTTAAGGAAGGAAATCTCCTGCCCTTATCAGGTGAGCTTGTGTGTGACTCCAGACCCGTGGTAATATACTAGACTCTTCGTTGCTGTCTGAGATGGCTGACCAAGCTTCTTTGTCCAAAGTAAATAGGAATGGGCAACCAATGCTGACTTGCCAGGAATAACCGCGTCTGTTAAAATGAACATACCCTTTTTTACTAAAAAGATTTAAAGATAAGCAAATACATGGAAATCACACACAGCCCACTTCTTAGCTGCTGGTGTTTATTTTCTCAATTGTGTCATGATTCAAAATTGAATGGAACTAGTTTATTTTATTGCAGAAGGTGAATGATCAGCCATAGTGTAGGCGATCAATTAATATTGAAGAAAGTGGGAGTGAGGATGATTACCTAACATTTGTAGAGGAAAGTGATAGCCGGAGGACTGAGGTGGCGACGAACGTAGGGAGACAGAAGCAATAATGTTATTTAATCCCTTGAAAATAAAAATACTGTTTGCATGTTATGCAATTTGAATCACTGACGTTATTTTCAATTTCAAAATTAAATATGGAAATATGAAATATTAGTCAATAAAGCCAATCACTCTTGTCGATTGCTGTTCTAAAGACAAAGATGGCATTTCTGATATTGTGAGTCAAATGAAACATATTTTTAGGAAATGAATTGCTTCCTAGCATTGATCTTTATTGTCGCTCTGTCTCCCCTTTAGGTTCTGCAGCTGATTTATCTCCAAACCCCTTGTCGCCCACGCATAGTAACTTGGGTGAGTTCTCCTGTAACTGAATATGCCTTGGGCTCGTCGACCCAATATATAATGATTAAAGGATTAAGCTTTCCTCATCTAATATGATAGCCATGGTAAAAATATTTGTATAGGTGGGGAAATTCAAAAAAGCATAGTCACTCACTGATCCATTCAGGAGAAGCTACTTTACAATGCGACTGATACGAATGTGGAACTCACTACCACAGAGTGCAGTTAGGGTGAAAAGCATTGATGAATGTAAACGAAAGTTGGAAGACGAAAAGAATAGGAGGATATAATGATGTGGTGAGATGAAGAGCGGAAGGAGGTTCATGTCAAGCATGATCAGCACAGACCATTTGGGCTAAATGCCTGTTTTGTGCTATAGACACTGTCATACCGAGAATGGATCTGAAGGACAGCTTCAGGTCTTTGTCTTCCTGGACTGATGCAAACATTGCATTGTAGAACAGAGAGAAAGTACTCAGCTCTTCAAACTAGTACAGGTTATCTCCGCAGCTTGATCAGAGAGGTGGCTTTGGAGGAGTGCAACCTCACTGAATTTACCCTGAAGTGTAAATGCAGCCAAAGGAACTGTGTTTAATAAACCTCTGCAGTCTTAAGTCCACAACTTGTTACCAAACCTTCCACTTCCTACAGACAAAGGGGATGGCGATGGGCACCCACATGAGCCCAAGCTATGCCTGCCTCTTTGTAGGATACATGGAACAGTCCCTTTTCTGTTGATGCACTGGCACTATACCCCACCTCTTCCTCCGCTACATTGATGGCTGTATTGGCACTGCCTCGTGCTCCCCTGAGGCGCTTGAACAGTTCATCAACTTTACTAACACCTGTCACCACAACCTCAAGTTCACCTGGACCATCTCTGATACCTCTCTCTCCTTCCTGGACCTTTCTGTCCCCATCTCTGGTAACCGCCTCGAAACTGACGTCTATTTCAAGCCCAGCAACTTCCACAGCTACCTGGACTACACCTCCTCTCACCCACCTTCCTGCAAGAATGTGATCCCCTACTCCCAATTCCTCTGCGTCTGCTCCCAAGATGGAGCATTCCACTCCCAAACATCCCCGATGTCCACCTATTTCAAGGACTTCAACCCCCCCCACCTCCTCCGGTGATCAAAAGTGCCCTCAATCACATTTCTTGCATTTCCTGCACTTCTGCCCTCATACCCCCTTCCCCCACCCAACAAAAATAAAGGCAGGATCTCCTTTATCCTCCTATATCACCCCACCAAAATCTGCATCCAGTGTATCATTCTCCACCACTTCCACCACCTACAATCCAACTCCACAACCAAACAGTATTTCTGTCTCCTCCCCTATCTGCCTTTCGTAGGGACTGCTCTCTCCGCGACTCCCTCATCTGCACCACACTCCCCACCACCCCCAGCACCTTTCATTGCAGCCTACACCATCCCCTCACCTCCATTCAAGGCACAAAACACATCTTGCATATCAGCCAGGGTTCATCTGTACATCCGTCAACTTGGTCTACTGTATCCGTTGCTCCTCTTGTGGCCTTCCCCTACACTGGTGAGACCAAGCAGAGACTCTGAGACCATTTCGTAGAGCATCTGTGCTCTGTATGCAACAAACAACAACACCTTCCCGTCGCCAACCATTTTAACTCCCCCTCCTACTCACTGGGTGACATGTCCATTCTGGGCCTCATCTAGTGTCACAGTGACACTACCCGCAAACTGGAGGAGCAACACCTCATATTCTGCCTCGGGAGCCTACAGCCCGACGAGCAGTTTTAAAATCTCACCATCTCCGCCTCATCCCATATCCAACCCTCCCTCTCATACCGCCTCCTTGACCTGACACAACCAGTCCATCTTCTCTCCCACATATCCACCCCACCCATCCCACTGACCAATCCCCACCACTCCCTACCTAAACTCACCTATCACCATGTTCCGACCCGAAATGTCAACTTTCCTGCTCCTTTGAATGCTGCCTGACCTGCTGTGTTCCTCCAGCTCCACACTGTATTGTTGCCAAAGGAGTTGTGTTCTATTCTTCCTCACTACCTTGGTACTTATGAACATATTTTTTTCCATTGTTTGTTCCTCCTCCTTTTGAAGACCAAACCCATTGCTCATATCCTAACTTGCACCAAGTCCCATTCACCCATTACCCCTTTGCGTTCTGACCTACACTTGGTCCCAGTCTGGAAAAACCTTGTATTAAGATTCTCACCTTTCAGGCCATGGCCTTGCTTCTTTCTTTTTTCTGAGATGATGCTCTGAAATCTTTGCGCTTCTCCAATTAAGATTTATCATGGAATCCCAATTTTCTTCTTTCCATCATTGATGGCTTTAGCTTTTAACTGCTTAACCCTGAGCCATGGCTCAGTTCGTAGCTGTCTCACTTCTGAGACAGAACATTATGTGTACAACTTTCACTTCAAATAGTAAGAGCATCAGCCTGATTTACATTCTTCAGTGCAATAATAAGGGAGTGTACACTGTCTGAGATGCTCTCTTTTGAATGAGACATTTAAATGAAACTCCATCCACCCACTCAGTTGAAGCTTAAAGATTCAGGAGCTCTGTTTAAAGATGAGTAGGAGTGTTCTCTTTTAATATTTATCCCTCAATCAACACCTCAGACCTCTGATAGGAACTAGTAGGAGCCTTCTCTGTACAAATTTGATGCTGTGTTTCCCAAATTACACTTCAGAAAACACACTATGGTCTGTAAAGCCTTTTGTTCTGCCCTGCAGTTTTGAAAGGCAGCATGAAAATACAAGCCAGTCTTTATTTCTTCTGCCTTTCTAATTGTGCTACTCAAAAGCTGTCTTGTCTGACAGCGCCCAGCTTAACAGAGACCAAAGGTGGAAGCTGTGGCCTTGGCACAAACTTGTAGCACATTTCACATACTAGTATCAGGATGAGTTGACAGGGCATGCTTGAGAGTTGGTGTTTTTCAAGTGACCAGAAAATCAAGGGAGGTTGGAAGTTCATGTCCGGGTCACGGAGTTTACTTTGGCAGCTGGCCTACAGTTTAAGCTTTGTTTGCCTGTCATGACTCAGTGCTGCTACAGTGCATCGTCCCACGGTGAACAAGAGGCTGTTGTTTGATGTTCAACAGCAGCGGCTGAAGGGAGATGCTTCAAGGCAGCTCTGTGTTTTACCAACCACTGCTGGGCAGGGCTTGACGTTTGAAAACTGTTGCTTCTAGCAATATACACACAAGATCTGTTTAATTGATACTTGAATTAAAGGTTTAATGCATATTGACATGGGGAAATTCACACTTCAAACTCCACAATGTCAACAAAGAACAATGTGCAGTTTGGAGGTTCCCAGATTGCCTTGTTGCCCCAGTACTTTACAGATAAACATGAACTCAAGCTTGATTGTTGCACTGTATTGAGTTAGTTGCTACCTGTGGACTTGGCATTCCTGGCATAAAAGAAGGGAAAAATCAACCCTAGATCTCTGTAAGGTGATCCAGCTTAGAAAGTGCTTGTCCGTGAATGTTTGGTAGGATAGGATCCAGTTCTATTATTGATGCCGTCTGCTTGCAAACACTCACTGTTTTTAGTGTTGCACTTGGAGAAGAGCTGCTTGAATTGGATGGTTCCCCAGTGAGACTGACGTATGTTGTCAAACCCCTGGTACTCCCTACCTGACAACCCTGGTGTATTGACACCACTCAGACTACAGCAGTTCAAGAAAGTGTCTCATCACCTATTTCTCAATGATGGATGGACAATGAATGCTGGCTTTTTTTGATTCATTCTCAGTGTGTGTTTCACTGACTAGGCCAACATTTACTGCCTATCCCTAATTGCCTGGAAAAGGTGGTGGTGAGCCACTAGTCAGAGAGGGAATTTTAGGATTTTTACCAAACATTAGATGAACGTTGATATAGTTCCAAGTCAGGGTACTGTGTGACTTGGAGGGGATCTTTTCAGGTGGTGGTGGTGCTCCCATGTATCTGCTGTCCTGGACTCTCTAGGTGGTACAGTTGACAAGTTTGGAAGGTGCAGCGAAGAGTGGGTTTTACAGAAACTTGTGTGAATTAGAGGATCTTTACCCATCCTTTACTGCACTTAGAATCAACTGGCTGGATAAGCATAGAATACAATATTATAAAATTTTAGCCTTTTTCTTCAATGCCCAAATACTGGAGAGAGACCAGAGGTTGGGGCTTATTTTGTTCTCACTTCCATGGCCTAAGGGCTGGTAGGACAAATGAAACTGCTGCCTAGTTACGGTCAGCAAACTCTGCGCAGAACAGGAATGGGATTGATCTGATATGACAGCTTTGTAGCAACTGGGATGTTCTTTTCCTACTCAGGGTCTCCCAAGAGCAGGTATAGCAACTGAAACAAACTCAAGGTTCACTTGGGATTCTGGAGCTGGTGACTAACTCCTGCTGTAGTGAGTAGAAATATTGCAATTGTGTGCCATGTAAGATGGGCACCCAGTGAATTGACAGGGGGCCAGTGTGGGACAAAGCAGAATAACCCGAACTCCACATGAAACTGGGTGCCTGACTTCTTGGAGCCAGCGGTCAGAAAATTTTAGAGTCGTATATTAGCCATGGAAAACGCCATTTCCCCCCTTAGCCTCGGGGTGGAGTTGCGAAATGTTCAGATACTGAATGAACCATCGTTACTTGTAGCTTGCAATAAACTGTTTAAGGTGCAGAGTCCTAGTCCTCTCACCAACTTGAACTGAGTGTTTGTGGGTCAAGAAAGGTATTGAAAAGGGATCAGGAATTTTACAAGCATCTGAACAATTCCAGAAACTATTAGAAATGCCATTTGCAGCTTTGATATTGTCCCGAGACCCGGTAACTCAGTCCCAATCAACTGTTAGTCCCTATAATAATATCACGTTGAATGTTTACTGTATTTGTGGTTGTAATTTATGCTTGTATTCAAGTGCATCCCTAGTTAGCCAGCTGTCAACACATTGATAAAGTTGCGTTTGAATTAGACAACCACTCTCTTCTGTTTAATTCTGTTTCCTATT